TAATGTATTCTTATTACACTCTGAAAGCATTGCGCTACAAATTACCGAAAAATGTGGCTATGATGATCACTACGTTACAGATAGTACAAATGATGATGGGTTGCACTGTAACTATTGCGGCTTATTATTACCAAAGAAGTGGTCATTTTGAATGTTATTGTACACAGAAAAATTTCATACTTGCTTTTCTCATGTATTTTGGCTATATGATCCTCTTTGTTAGATTTTTTTGTAAGAATTACTTGTCCGCCGAACATGCGAGCAAAGACGGGAAGAAAATTCAGTTCGATGAAACCGCGAAATATGGCAAAAAAAAAACTAATTAAGCATATTTTTCTGAACGAATACGATGTTTCCTGAGAATCTTTTCTGAAAATATAGAAATTCGTTTCGAGAAATGATTCATAACTAGGGATTGAAATAAATAGTTGTCTATTGTTTTTAAGAAGAAAAAAGTCTTGTGGGATATTGGTGGAAATTTCTTTAAACAGTGTTCTTATAGAACATATATTTTGGAATTTATTTAATAGAAGCTCTTTGGGGATAAATTGCTTTGAAACGTTTATTAGAAAATAGGATAAATGTCTGAATGATATTAGATTGATCATAGTATCAATATCGATATAAAATAAATAAAAGTATCAAATGGTTAATTATTTTTATTAATATAATATTATATTAATATTTGGTCACATGTGTGTGATGCGGAAATGTATAATTATCTGATTCTACTTTTCATAGAATGGTATTCGGTATTTGTTACAATTATTATTTTTGTATTCAATTATATTGTATGTTTATTTTTATGTGGTATATTTTTTTATTGTATATCTTTTTGGTATTATTGTACTCTTGTTGGTATTATTATTATTTATTATTTAGTTTTATATTGTTCATATTATATATTATATTCCATATTTCCTGTGATGTGAAAACATTCGCAGAAATTTTGTTGAATTTGTTTCGAACGAGAAGTGAAATTTTAATGGAAATACAATGAGCATTATGAAAACAATTCATGTGTAATCACATTTTACTTTTATTTTTATTCAGGATTCAAACCCGCAATAAATTTATTTTTATTTCAGCATGTGTAATAATAAATTTTTGTAAAATGATTCGATGTTACACAGTTCAATATTTAATATGCCCTATAACAAAGAATAAAGAAATTTCTGAAATAAACAGATGGAATTTATATTTAATTTAATCTAGATTATAAAATATTTGCCAATAAAATTCCGAGCATTTTATGCTACGGTAGGACATAGATTTTTGTATGATACATTTTTTTGATAGAAAATATGTTTAGGAACTTTCTATGGAAATATGTCTTTGTAAAGGACTCTATTGTTTATTCATAACATAACCCAGCATAAAAAATGTTATAAATAGTAGTCATGTTTTTATAAAATGTATTAAATAAAAAATTTTTAGTATAGAAGTGTTTCAAGTATGTTTAAATGTACCTTCATGTTAAGTTAAGAACTTCGTCAGGAAATTCTAAGAATATACCGGATATGGCACGTAACTGTCGCCACGATTTCTCAGGCACTTCTAATTGTGTGATAAAGAATGTTCTGAACAAAAATTAATCAGTTTCTAGTTGGCTACAAAGTACAACATAAGAAATTACAAAAACTTTTTTTTCGATAAAAAATTTAGGTCACATTGATTTTTTTTAAATGGCATCGTGTATTTTTGACCTCGCAGGATTATTGCTTCTGAAAAAGCGAATTTAACGACCTACTACACTATGATCTTCAGATGTCTTTGTCATCAGAAATTTAGGTTCAACCAACAGTAATTGTGCATTGTAAATTTTTAGCGTGAAAATTACGTTCTCTGAACCAGTGAAAGTCAACTCTGAACCAGAAATGATATCTCTGACAGTTAATTACACATTGTTAGGATACTTTTGTCGGTTTAATGGTCTGACACTAAAGTACAAGTCATGTTAATATTTTTTCATAACATTAATATCAACATGACTTTCACCCTAACAAGTCACAATTGTTCATTCTGCTAAGACAATTATGATATTCAGTCTTATTCTATCAGTACAAAACTAAGGAGGTATTCTAATAGTAAAAAGATGCTGCTTATGCTCGGTAAATGTGATAGAAATGCACGTAGAGCTGCAAATATGTACACTACAGAATATCCAGACAGACGGCACCCGTATCCAAAAATGTTTTATAACATTGAAAGGTGTGCGAGAGTACATGAATGAAACAAAGGAAATTTCGATATTAACGTTACTGTTGATTGAACCAAAATTTCTGAAGTCAAAAACATCCGAAGGTCATAGTATAGTAGGTCATTATATTTATTTTTTCGGAAGCAACAATCCTGCGAAGTCAAAAATATACGGTGCCATTTCAAAAAATCAATGTAATCTTGATTTTTTTTATCGAAAAAAGGTTTTTGAAATTTTTTATACTGTACTCTGTAGCCAACTAGGAATTGGTTAATCTTGGTTCAAAACATTCTTTGTCACACAATCAGATGTACCTGAAAAATCGTGGTGACTGTTACGTGACATGTATTCATTTCATTTTAAATATTTTGCATACTGCATACGTTTTGCGTAAGTACATAAATTTTGCATTAGTGCACATTCATCTGATATTTCATTAGGCGAGGATATATGTAAAGTAAGTAAAGAATAAATGACTACAGGGAATAATTACCTGCATCGATTAGTCCATTAAAAAATAATTTTGTTGTGGTCAACCGATTGGAAGATGATCTTATATATAAAAATGAGATTTTCTCGTACTAAGTACCAAATTAATTTTCAAATTTTTAACGAAATAGACATTCAAAGTCTATTTTCTTGAAAATTGGGCCATAAACGTTAAAATTTTACTCTCAATGTTTTACCCATTTTTGCATAAAGAATTTCCTCGTACTGAATGAATTGAACACGTGTCACTGTATGTGTTTCGTTATTTGACATGTTTTTCATAGTTACAAAGAAAACTTAATAAAATACGAGATATTGGATTAATATAATGGATGTACACGTAGAAAATTATGTTTATTGCGTTTAATTCCATGATGAACATTTCGTTTCAGTCACGAAGATATCCTAGACACGATTTTTCTATAAACTGATGTTACAAACAAAAATAACGATGTGTTTTCTTATGCTAATAAAAATATGTACTTATTTATACTAAAAATGTTAAACATTTCAATAGCTAAAAGAAGCCCTATAACATTCTTAACTATTAAAATATATACTCACTAATTTTAATAAAATTGTAATAAAAACCATATATAAAAACAGCATAAAAAATATAATTAATGTAAAATAAAAATTACATAATATAAAAAATATGTTTGTTACTCGAAAATTGCATTAATCGTTAATCAAACGTTTTTGTTTCCCTACTAGGATATGGGATAAGGGAAACTATTATATTATAATAACGTGTAATTTAATAGTTTGCACGAACTGTATTCTGTTTGTGATACATCTAGTCGTTAGTTAATTCTTTTACCAACATTATGATGAGAATGATTTTCTTTGTACATTCCACTTCAGCTTTTCATGAAAATAAATCTAAAGTGGAGTGTACAAAGTAAACCATTCTCATCATCATAAAGTAACAGCTGGTCCTCTCGTTGCGAAACAGGAGTTAATTCGAAATAAACAACATTTTATTTGATATACTTTTAATTATTTTATTGTTAATGAAAATTTCATATCACACGTATCAACTATATACATGTATACCAAGAATCAAATATACAGATTATAAGAAGATTGAGAGGC